CCATTTAGGTTTGAAGTACCTTTCTCATAGAAATCATCTCAGCACCATTCTCATATCCTACAATTAAAAAATACAGCAGAAATGGCTATGGTTAGTCCCTACACTCCTATTAACAACTTGAAGCCTGTTAAGACTTTTTGCTGTATTCAAGTTAGTATACTGCATTCGTGGATTCATTTTACAAAAGGTTCTGGCATGTCTTTGGAAATGATTTTGACAGATAAGGCTGTAAGTACCATTGAAATTTTATACAATTCTCTTTGTAATATATGTGCCGTAAGTTTTAAGTCATCTTATTTTAATTACAGGGTAACAAAATTCAAGCAAACATCAAATAGGAACACATCAGCAAATTCCAAAGGTATGTTAAACCGTTTTTTTTTTCCTTTTTTTAAACCATGAAACTAGGCCCCACAAACCCAATATAATCTATTAAAAAACTTAGACCCAATACAACTATTTTTTTGTTTGTTCACAATCACACAATAAAATTATCAATTCCTAATTGAACCAAAGAAATTGTTAATCTCATATAAAAAAAATACAAATCTAATGCTGCTAAATATATTAAATTCTAAAATACAATATTCTCTCCTTTTTTAGTCAAATAAAATATATAACATTATATCCAAATAGTAAGAAATATAAAATATTATGATATATTCCATTTTATATTATACTATTATACTATATTATTCCTTATTTCTTCGAACAAAATATACAATTTAATTCATGAAAAATATTAAATCCCGTGCTATATAGCACGGGTCATGATCTAGTTTGTTGGTATTTCGGGTATTTTTGGCTATTCGATATAAAAATAACTAATATTTTCTGATATAAACTCATATTTCGGGTATTTTTGGGTACCCGAAATATTTCGGTTCGGTTCGGTTCCGGTTCCGGTTCTTTCTGTTCTAAAATTTAGGATCCATTTGAGTATTTTAAAATTTCAGTTCGGTTCCGGTTCGGTTCTTTTTGCTTCGGTTCCGGTTCGGTTCTTGTGGTTCGGTTATTTTGTCCAGGCCTAGAGATATCTATCAATTAACATTATTCACCCGCAGAAGAAGATAGGGTTGTTAAATTGATGGGTAAAATAGAACTTACCATTCTAAAATGGTCGTAATTTGTTGTACAATTTCATGAATTGGTGTTAATTCATGGCCTGTAAATACCACAATCTGATAGGGAAATCTTTTTGGATTGGCCATATATATATATTCAAAAACAAGCTTTTATATGTATATTTTATCAATTTATCCACATAGGATGTGAAATATGATTGTATATATAACTTGGATCGGTTAGTTTTCAGATTGTATATATAACTTGGATCGGTTAGTTTTCAGATTGTACTATATATATATATATTCAAAAACAAGCTTTTATATGTATATTTTATCAATTTATCCGCTTAAAATGTAATTACTAAAATTTCTTTTGTATGAGATTCAAGTTTACCCAAATTTTATTGCAAAGCTTATTAATGATAAATTCTTAATTTTAGATTAAAATAAAATATGGACCAAGTAGCCAGCAAATGAATCTCACAGCATAGTTGACTAGTAGTTGTTGTTAGTATATAATATAATCAACATCTGTATTAATGTTCTGACGTCAATCTGCTGAATCAGCCCCTTCAGTTTTAACTACGTCATGGGGCTGACGTCGAGTGTCCGACGAAACTAATGCCGTTTTCATTGGTGCATTAGTCGCCACTCGCCAGCTACATCGCAATTATTTCTCTCTTTAAGCGTTGAAAAATTGTTAGATCTTACTTGTTAATGTTAATCTATTACTCCTAATAATTTTCTTTTGTCTGGTGCATTTTTATTTAAAATCTAAACCAAAAAACTCACTACAAAATTAAATAATTTTAGCATTAAAGATATCCACCAGTGATTAACGTTTTTAGTGGAGTATTTTCATTACAAAACAATGAATTGATCATATTCATATATAAGGTTCAAAGCTTACTATATTCAGCAAAAACATTATTTTACACGTTTCATCTTATATGAGTTAAACATTGCGAGGGACGTGTAAAATATGTTATATTTTTTTTGTGAACATCCAATTTATTACATATATTTATATTTCTAACATATATATGAACGTAAAATCTATTATCTCTTAAACTCTATATTATTATTTAACGTATAAATTATAATTAAAACAAGCCATCAAAATATTACAGAAAATATATATTAACGATTCAATCAACAAAATTAAGCAAACAAATTTATCCTTAAAATTCTTCTGCTATTTATTTTCTAATCAGATTTTAAAAAATTACCGACACTTTTATTGAAATGGAAAGATTACAATAGAAATTTTTAAAATCATTAATATTTTAGGGTTTATCATTGCTCATAACTCTCTCTAATCTATCTGACTTTTTGTAGAACACAGTTTTCTATTAGATTCCTCCTGTCTTATATACTCAAGGAAAACCATTAAGCCCATTAAGTATTCTAATAGACGTTATTTTTTAATCTTTAGTTATTAAGCGAACCGCGTAGCAACGTTTCACAGATCAGATCAAAGTCACATGCGAAAGTTCATAAATATATTTCTTTTATGGAGATATCTAGGCCTGGCGTTCGGGTACCCGTTCGGTTCTGGTCCGGTTCCTATTCGGTTCTAGAATTTAGGATCCATATAGGAACCAAACAATTTCGGTTCGGTTCCGGTTCGGGTTCGGTTCCGGTTCCGGTTCTTTCGGTTCTGAAGTTTAGGATCCATTTGGATTTTTTTTTTCCAGATATTTTTAGGTATTTTGGATATTTTTGGGTATTTTTGGATATTTTTGAGTATTTTTTGGATATTTTAAGCATTTTTTGATATATTTTCTAAATATTTGTTGGTATTTCGGGTATTTTTGGCTATTCGATATAAAAATAACTAATATTTTCTGATATAAACTCATATTTCGGGTATTTTTGGGTACCCGAAATATTTCGGTTCGGTTCGGTTCCGGTTCCGGTTCTTTCTGTTCTAAAATTTAGGATCCATTTGAGTATTTTAAAATTTCAGTTCGGTTCCGGTTCGGTTCTTTTTGCTTCGGTTCCGGTTCGGTTCTTGTGGTTCGGTTATTTTGTCCAGGCCTAGAGATATCTATCAATTAACATTATTCACCCGCAGAAGAAGATAGGGTTGTTAAATTGATGGGTAAAATAGAACTTACCATTCTAAAATGGTCGTAATTTGTTGTACAATTTCATGAATTGGTGTTAATTCATGGCCTGTAAATACCACAATCTGATAGGGAAATCTTTTTGGATTGGCCATATATATATATTCAAAAACAAGCTTTTATATGTATATTTTATCAATTTATCCACATAGGATGTGAAATATGATTGTATATATAACTTGGATCGGTTAGTTTTCAGATTGTATATATAACTTGGATCGGTTAGTTTTCAGATTGTACTATATATATATATATTCAAAAACAAGCTTTTATATGTATATTTTATCAATTTATCCGCTTAAAATGTAATTACTAAAATTTCTTTTGTATGAGATTCAAGTTTACCCAAATTTTATTGCAAAGCTTATTAATGATAAATTCTTAATTTTAGATTAAAATAAAATATGGACCAAGTAGCCAGCAAATGAATCTCACAGCATAGTTGACTAGTAGTTGTTGTTAGTATATAATATAATCAACATCTGTATTAATGTTCTGACGTCAATCTGCTGAATCAGCCCCTTCAGTTTTAACTACGTCATGGGGCTGACGTCGAGTGTCCGACGAAACTAATGCCGTTTTCATTGGTGCATTAGTCGCCACTCGCCAGCTACATCGCAATTATTTCTCTCTTTAAGCGTTGAAAAATTGTTAGATCTTACTTGTTAATGTTAATCTATTACTCCTAATAATTTTCTTTTGTCTGGTGCATTTTTATTTAAAATCTAAACCAAAAAACTCACTACAAAATTAAATAATTTTAGCATTAAAGATATCCACCAGTGATTAACGTTTTTAGTGGAGTATTTTCATTACAAAACAATGAATTGATCATATTCATATATAAGGTTCAAAGCTTACTATATTCAGCAAAAACATTATTTTACACGTTTCATCTTATATGAGTTAAACATTGCGAGGGACGTGTAAAATATGTTATATTTTTTTTGTGAACATCCAATTTATTACATATATTTATATTTCTAACATATATATGAACGTAAAATCTATTATCTCTTAAACTCTATATTATTATTTAACGTATAAATTATAATTAAAACAAGCCATCAAAATATTACAGAAAATATATATTAACGATTCAATCAACAAAATTAAGCAAACAAATTTATCCTTAAAATTCTTCTGCTATTTATTTTCTAATCAGATTTTAAAAAATTACCGACACTTTTATTGAAATGGAAAGATTACAATAGAAATTTTTAAAATCATTAATATTTTAGGGTTTATCATTGCTCATAACTCTCTCTAATCTATCTGACTTTTTGTAGAACACAGTTTTCTATTAGATTCCTCCTGTCTTATATACTCAAGGAAAACCATTAAGCCCATTAAGTATTCTAATAGACGTTATTTTTTAATCTTTAGTTATTAAGCGAACCGCGTAGATAAGTGTAATTAAAAAACAGAGAAATTCTTAAACAATTAAAAACAGATTGTATATAATTAAGTGAGCCGCGTACTGGGAAAGGTATATAAAATGAATTATGTTTCCTATACATCATGACAGATCATATGCTAAGGTCAACACCTAATCTATCTTTTTGTCTCTCTTTATTTAGATTCACGCATATAGGTCTAGCCAAGCACATGTCCTATGTCGAAAATATAATTTATAATCGTCTAATTAAAATATAACCTAGTGTATGTATAATTATATTTGGAAAACCGAAATTGGCAAAGTCATTTGGTAACGTGTATGTACAACTTGTCCTATATATTCTTTTTTTTTTTTTTGGCTAAAGTTGTCCTATAAATTCTGATCTCCCTATCCGTTCAAAATTCATAGCACAAAGAAGAGACTTGAGAAAAACAAAACAAACAAGAAACACACACACAAGTTCACTCTACTCTATGGAAATGAACTCCCCACACGAAAAGGCGGTGCAAGCTATCCGTTATGGCCAAAGGTGCGCCATGCGGTTGAAGATGCGGCTCGACCATCCAATGGCTGATGGCGGACCGGTTGCAAGTTATGATCTTGCTAAATCGATCGTCGAAAGCTTTTCCAATGCCATTTCAATCTTATCCGCTAAACCAACAACCGAAGATGATCAGTTTTCTGATTTATCTTCAAGGGATTCTTCTCCTTCTCCACAGGGGAGCCCCTCCAAGAAAAGGTATACATTTTACCCTTAATTGTCATCTTTTTGAGTTTTTTTTTTTGTTTTTTTTTTTTCCTAATGAAACCACAATTTTTAATATTATTATTTTTTCTTAGGAGTTAATTTGGTATATGTTGATTTTTATGCTAATATTTGATAATATTCATGTTTGCAGAAAGATTGATAGTACAGATTCAAGTGAGAATTGGAGGGACGATTCACCGGATCCGATTTACTACGACGGGTATCTTTGGAGGAAATACGGCCAAAAGAGTATAAAAAAATCTAATCACCAAAGGTAAGAAATAGTGTAGCTTATCATGTTTAATTCTAATTATTTGTATTCCGGTCCGATCACTAATACTAATTAGTGTATGATAATGGTACAGGAGCTACTATAGATGTTCTTACAACAAAGATCATAACTGCGGAGCAAGAAAGCATGAACAAAGGATCAAAGACAACCCTCCTGTTTACCGAACCACTTACTTTGGCCACCACACTTGCAAAACCGAACATAATCTAGATGCCATTTTTATAGCCGGACAAGATCCCGTAGATGATTCGAAAAGTGCCCAAATGATCCGATTCGGAAAAGATCTCACTCAGGAGAATGGAAGCTACTCGAAAGGTTTCTCCTTATCGGTTAAGAGTGAAGAAGATATCACTAGAGAGCAAACCATGGATCAGTACCGTGAGATAAACAGTAATGACCAAGATTGTCAAGATGTGATTGAAGAAGATCTATCATCACCATCAGGCTCTTATCCTCCTTCATTGTCATCTGGCAGTGAAAGTGCTGACTTTAATTCTGATTTGTTATTTGACAACCTAGACTCGTGGGATCATTATGATCAGTTTTACTTTGGATTGCCCTAGATTTTTCAGCTAAGACTATTTATTAATGTTTTCTTTTTATGAGATTGTATGTATTTGAGAATTGTGACTATTTATGTTATTCATTAGTTATTTGGACTATAAGTAGAATATGTAAAACCGGGCTTTGTTTGAGAAAATGTAATATTTACGAAGGTTTGATCTTTTTTTTTTGTTGTTGATAACTAAGAGGTTTTTGGCCGAAGCACACACTTCTTCTTACATTCAGAACGATTAATAGAAAATAAATCTTGACACACTGAATTGATAAAGAAAATAGAAAACACATTATATAGTTGCTAATTATGAAACGATTTGCCTTATGCCAAAAAAGAAAAAGAAAAAAAGAAACGATTTGCTTAAAAACATAGAATCTTACATACACCAATAAAATACTACAGAAATTTAATTTTGATGAGTGGAAAAATTTTGTGGAAGTCTATTTTGTACCTTTTGACACATGCATTAAACGTGTATGAAAATCATGGTATTTTTATACGTAGATTCTATTTATGAAAGTTATTATGGAATTCTAATATATACTATATATCATGAAAGACCAATTGCAAACAAGTGGGCTTTAATTTCCTTCCGAGTGTTAATGTTGAAGAGTAGACTGTCGACAATCGTATGTCGCTTCTGGTCTACCCTCATGGTTGCAGGTCTTCTTCGCCTCAAAAGTATTGATTATCTTTGTGTAAGTATGTTTTTTTTTTTCGTCAAATTTGTATATGTTTTTTTGGATGTTTTCTGCTTTTGAAGTTTGTGAGCGGCTGCTATGTTTTGGTAAACTCTTTTGTTAATTCCCCATTCAATGAAATTCAGATGGAATATATATATTCTTTTCATTACAAGCTAAGGACTTTAAGAATTTCAAATACTTAAATTAAATAGCATCTATACCATATAGATGTTTACTGATAAACCATATAAGTTAACATTTTAGGTAAATAAGCTAAGCTAATGATGACAAAATTGAAATTATGTTTAAAGTCTGTATTTGGATTATTTAAACGACATTATTTACAAACTCGTATTCTATGAGCATGAGGCTATCTATTGATGACGTCGATATTCTACGTAACCTAACGCAGTTTTTCGTGCCCTTATTTTCTTTGGTCGCATTATTTGCTATATATAATTTATATTACCACTTGTCTTTCGCATCTTATTATAAGAAAAGTTAAATTGATATTATTTACAAAATACTAGTAGTGGTCTGGACGAACTAGCTAGATCAAGTTGAGAGTATATATAATAAATACAATCCGATTTTTATAAATGCCACATGAAAGTAAAGTCAACGACTGTTTTTCTTTCTATCTAATCTTTGATTAGCTAATTTCCGAGATGGAGCACATGTCGTAATTCTTGTTTGTCGGATTCTTACCCCTTATCATAAACCATTATTTTACTATGCATAATTGCATAATAACATAAATTATATCATGAAATTATATTCGCATAATGAATTTTGCAGCATTCTTATCCTCAATAAGCTGAAAGTTGCAGCTTATATAGTGGGTTGCTTTGGAAGATATATGGCTCTGAAAATTTGTATTTTTGCATTTTTCATAGGTGAAGGGTAGATTCTTGAATATAAAATTGAGCCAATATATAAGAGGTGCATAATTATTATTTTTGGGTTAAATTGATATAATTCTCTATTTTTATTGACCTAATTCTTTAGATCATAAGGTGACTTTTTGATGATAAGAAATGTTAGACCTTGTTGAGTCTCTCTATTATTAATGTGACTTACATGCTGGTCTTACAATAATCATTTTATTTTCGGTTTAATGAACATTAAACCGTTTGATATATTCTTGTTAAAAGAAAAAAGAACAAGAAAAATCAAGAACTAGATCAGAGCCATGTATCTTCCCAAGCAACCCACTGGAGGAAGCACAGCAATCTCAGGGGAAGATGATTGCATCGTAGAAATCTCAAGGGCAGATGAAGATTCCAAAATACTTCTGAGAAATTCAGCAGCTCACCAATCTTGTTGCATCTTTAGAATCCCTCACACTCTCGTCCAATCCAATGAGACAGCTTACAAACCGAAGATTGTCTCGATCGGTCCTTATCACCACGATGACCGTAAATCCGATAAAGCCAAAAAATCACGTTTTCAGATGATCCAGCAGCACAAACAACGATATCTTGATATCTTCTTGTCCAAGACTACTAAAAAGGGCGTGGGTTTAGAAGACTTGCAAAAGGTGGTCTGGAAAAAGGAACATCTCCTACGAGATTCGTATTCCGAGGAACTACAACTTAATCAAGTAGAGCTGATCGATCTGATGGTTCTTGATGGTTGCTTCATCCTTATGTTGTTTCTCTTGGTTTCACGTAAGGTTCCACATAAAACATTTGAGGATCCAATCTTCATGTTGCGGTGGATTTTACCGACTCTACGAAGTGATCTCCTCCTCCTTGAAAACCAGGTTCCGCTTTTCCTTCTTCGAGATCTTTTTGAGACATCAAAGTTAGCTACTAAAACTAGCTTAAACGAGATGATCTTCAACTTCTTTGGCTATGCGATAAAAAGGCCACAAAAATTTTGGGATGAAAGAATGAATCTTGATGCAAGCCATCTTCTTGATCTCATCCGTAAGACTTTCGTACCCGATCAATCGAAAAAAGACGAAGGAGAAAGGTGGACCAATATGTTCTACGGTTCCAGATGCTTCAATGTGTTAAGTCCTTCCAAAAATAAAGTTCAAAGGGAGACATCCACACCACCACCAATAGAAACAAAAACACCACCACCAGCACCACCACCACCAACACTAACACAACCACATCCAAAACTACCAACACCGCCTCATCGCCGTTTCCTCAAGTTGGTTGTCTCAGCCAGAAAACTTCGACTCCGAGGAATAAAATTCCAACAAAAGAAGAATTCTGAGACACCTCTTGACATAACTCTCAAGAATGGTGTACTTGAAATACCGCCACTACTATTCGATGACTTTTTCAGTTCTCTTTTAATCAACTGCGTCGCCTTTGAGCAATTTAACGTGCAAGGCACAACTGAAATGACGAGCTATGTTACTTTCATGGGCTGCCTCATAAATACTGCAGATGATGCAACGTTCTTAAGCGAGAAAGGTATTATAGAAAACTATTTTGGAACGGGAGAACAGTTATCTGTGTTCTTCAAGAATACAGGTAAAGACATTGTGTTCACAATATCCAAGAGTTACTTGGCAAATGTGTTCGAGGGAGTCAACAAGTACACTTCACAAGGATACCATGTACACTGGGCAGGAGTCAAGTACACATATTTCAAAAGTCCGTGGACATTTCTATCATCTTGTGCTGCTTTGTTGCTTATTCTGCTTACCATTTTCCAAGCATTCTTCGCAGGCTACGCCTATTTTCGCCCTCCAAAGTGATTACACCTTTGGCTTTGGTTTCGTCTTCAACTTGAACATGCCTGAAGCTTTCACCCTATCTTTAAATTATTCTTCTGGCTATTTTCTTTACAAAATATGAGCATTTTTGTTTGATCACTTCGTTTTAATTTCTTTGTTTTAATCTAAATTTTATTTCCTTTCCATCAACAATTTTTTTTTTTGTCACATCACATTTTCGAAAGTTATATGTTTAGTGATATAGCTCAGGTTTTAAAATTTGCAAATAATTTCCGCAAGTACAACGTTATAACTATAAAAAAGAAAGGAAACAATTTAATAGTTGTAAAAACTAAAAAGTGAAAACAAAGAAACAGAGACATAATTATAAAAAAAAAAACAGGAAAAAAGAAACAGAGACATTGCTACAAGAAATAATTAAGATATCAATTATCAACCAAAGGAAACAATTTAATACAGCTAAATTACTTGTAGTAGTGACTCTTTTTATATTAACCGTGGCCATTTCATTGCTAAAAAAATCACTATAAATACTCCCTCTGTATCAAAAAGATTGATTTTATAGAATTTTCACAGCAATTAAGGAAAAAATCTAATGTTTAGTTATAAAGACACTATTTATTCATATCAAACCCTTTCTCATAGCTATTAACCAATAGTAATTCATCAAATTTTAAAATTCTCAATTAATGATTCTTGAAATTCATAATTTATTACCATTAATTGATAAAAATTTACAGAAAATTAATTTTTTTGATATAAAAATAAAACTTCAAAAATCATTCTTTATGATACAAAAGGAGTATATAGTTTTTGTGGCCTTTTAGCTTTGGTGGCTTAGCTTAAACAGCTAGTTCGCCACTAAAGAGTAGTGACCCAAGCAGTTTACTTGGTAGTCCAGTAACAGACGATCTGACTATCCCCTGCCATTAGTCGGAAAGCATTCCAAACTCGGGATAGACAGTGTGGTGGCCCTTCGGGGAGAAGTCCACTCTGAAGCACTTCGGTGCGTTTCTACCGGAGCTGACCGGATCAGCCGATAGGGTTTATCAAAAAAAAAAAAAAAAAAAAAAAAAAAAAGAGTAGTGAATAAAATAGTGGCTAATGCCAATACCATGTGGAAGTGGTTATAATTAGTCACTACGAGACTGTGGCCAAAGTTCCTTGTCCTTTAGCCACTCTTTAAGCAGTGGTTAATTAGGGGACATGGTCACAGATTTCACCCGTCGCAAATATGTGGCCACGTGAGTACATATGGCCACTACTTGTAATTGGAAATGACTTGATAGCTAAGTTTTTATATTAACCAATAACCAACGTTTGGCCACGATTTTTCCTCTTGACTTGCTCAATGATAAACCCGTGGTATATTTGAAAAATTCCTTGTAGAGTGATATATGCAGGTCGTTTTCAGCAGAAAAAATAATAAGAATGTAACACAACTCGTATGAGAAAAGGAATAGGAAAAGAGAAAATGTCCACTTTCCCGGAAATAAACTATTGGAAAAACACACATTTTCATTTCATTATTGTAAATTAAATATGAGAAATAACATTCGATTTAAAAATGCATATATTGTAACAAAGTTTTTATGAGTCGAATAAATTTTACATTCATTAAAAAAAAAAAGAAAAAAAAAAGAAGATTCAGGAGAATGCATCGCCAGTCGATCATCAATCATCACCATCGTCATATTGGTCAGCAACGTTAAATGGGTCAAACTCGTCTCCGGCATATGTCTCGGACTTTGCTCCGGCTTTACAGGTTCCCTCGGCAGCGTTGCATACATTTGCTTATATATAAAAACCATTACAAGATTATGATCCAAGCTATGAAAACAAGACGGAGGTAAACTCTACCGAAATAAAAGTCTCTTTTTTGTTTAATAACATTTATAGTTTTCTTTTAAGTTATTTCAGTTTCTTCTAAATCATAAAGTGACTTTAATTGTTATTAAAAAAAAGAGACTTTTATTTCGGTAGATAACCTCCAAGTGAAAATTTTATCAGAAATAAAAAGATACCTCCAAGTGCTTGGGTTAGGAACAAAAGCAGGATTAGACATACTGCGATGATGCTGCTTCCACCTAGTACCACAAAAACCATATCACATTTTATTAACACTTTTGAGTTTGAGTAATCATTATTCGGAACATTACAAAGAAAACGTAAAATATGTTTCATTCATATTATACCAAAATAACATTAATAAGGATTGCAATAACTTGTCTACGAATTCATAATCCTTGATATCTTGTCTGGTACGATATTATAAGAAAGTCGTGGTACTAACCTCGTTTATGTTTCGGTATTGGCTCATGACCGTTTGCACGTCGTGTGTAAATGAACATGGGAATTGATCCGACAAAAATGGTTCCTAATACCAAAGCAATCATCTTGTTTCACTTTTTTTTTTGTTTGTTTTATTGATGATCAGGCTATATCCCATGAACTGCTTTTTATAGAGAAATGGATTTATGTCAATTGTAATGACTAATGATCGAGTTTTATTAAGCTGGGTCAATAAACCTTCAAATTAATCACCGGTCTTATTTAAATTTAGTCATAACGTGGACCTTGTCACTTTTATAACAAAAGCATATTAGTATATATTATGAATAAAGAAGGTGGAGAGAAGCTGCATATTAATTAAAGACCAGTTCTGATTCATAAAAAATATTTTCTGTATTGATATTCAATACGAATTTCTTTTTATGATCAAGTTAGTATTAGTAACATGTAGTAGTTAAATATAAAACCTCTAATATTTCAAACGCCAAAATATTTAGTTGTTTGTAATTTACTTGTGATTAGTTTCTTTGTGACATATGTAATAGAACATTAAATCTATCGACTATCAATAGTAGCAAAACCTAATGAATCATGTTTACATTGTATACTCCTTCACGTAAATTTGTAATTTACTTGTTTTGCTTTCTTAATCATTTACTGCAGTTCAGAGCAAAAATAAAATAAAATAAAAATCATTTACTGCAGTCTAAATACTTTAAAACATAGATTAGATCAGTACTGAGTCTAACATAGGAAAACATGTAATTAGATAGGTAAAAGTGGTGGTTTAAAAAAAAAAAAAAAAAAAAAAAAAAAAAAAAAAAAAAAAAAAAAAAAAGATAGGTAAAAGTGGATTAATTAGTAGCTCAACACAAGATTATATTATCAAGTAAGAAAGCAATTAATCTAGAGCTTGCTAAGATTTTAAACAATATGAATATTACATCTCAAGTCCTACCCTCTTCCTTACTTCTCCTTTGTTTTTGTCATTCCTCGTAAATCTAAAGTCTTCACTTTAGTGAAATAAATTTTTAAAGATGAAGAAGAATCACCTCCCCAAACTGTGAGTAAAAACAATCAAGAAACTAGTCGCTTGATTTCAATTGTAAGCAAGAAAGCAACACAGATCAGATCATTCATTCATGCTGAAAAAGAGAGTTGACAAAATAAATAACTAGTATATATCAGTTCATATGAATTCTAATCTGAATCGCTATCCTTTTGTCCTCCCAACACAAAGTCGTCTACTGCGTTGTATTCATTTCTTAGTGGATGAAGTCTATCTGGCTCACATAAAACTTTAAAACCAATGTCAGCTGATTGTGCACATTGATATTCAGATTCAGCTGAAATGCTCGGGCTTATAAGATGTTCCTCTTCCCCTTTAGCTTCCTTATAAACTGCGTGTCAGCGACAAAAAGATTTATGTTACAGTGACGCTAATTATGTCAATATGATTTACTAGCTAAAGCTTTGTTATAATCGCGTAGACCTAAGAAAAAGACTCACCTTCTATGCCCTCATAATATAACTCACGAAGTAGGTAAATAAGAAAAAGAAGAAGTAGAAGAAGACTTGCTCCGACGATGAAGGATCCTAAGACCGTAAACAGCATCATCTTCATCTTTTCTTTAAGTGAGATGGATCAAGCTAAAGACGAAAAGTCACTTCCTTCTATACGAATTGATAATGCAAGTACTAAAGCGTCAACACAAATGGGAACAGAAACTAAACTAATAAAGTAAAGACCTAACGCACTAAATACAGCTCTTCTAGATGATAGTGAATGGACCAGCGAATCGAGGAGACAATGGACCAAGCCGCTTGATTTTATATTTATGTTACCATTAATGATGCCATGTGTAAACGGCTAGTGATGCCATCTGTTTAGTAGTTGAGAAATTTACACAAAACAAAAAAAAAAGTAAAAAAAAGATTTATCATTAGGGGAAAAATGTCATTTAATCGTCCAACTTTCAAATTGTGGCCATTTGAGACATCAACTTCATATGTGCCAATTTAAAACATAAACTAAACGTTGACTAACGTTTGAGACATGAAAATTCGTTGACCAGGCCAAAATAGACATGCCGTTATCAGTCGTTAACGGAACCTCTAACGGCCGTTATCACCCCTAACGACTCTGTTAGTCAACTTTCAAATTGTGGTCATTTTAAACATCAACTTCAAATTGTGGCAATTTAAAACATGAACTATGTTGACTAACATTTGAGACATGAGAATTCGTTGACCAGGCCAAAATGTAAAAGAACCTATAACATCCGTTAAGAACTCTGTTAGTATGCCCGAAACGATTTTATTTTGAGGATAATCGAGAAAGAAATCAGGATTTTTTCCAAATGAAAACCCCAAATCCTCAAATCTATTTCTACAATAGCCCCAAGCAAGACGAACAATCTTATTATCTCCATCTCTTTCAACTGCAGCTAGAAAGTGACCTTTTATTTCCTAACTCGGAAAAACTTCATTTAGTCCTATGATGGGTCTACAAGTTTGCTTCCATGATTTCTTTTAAGATTAAAAACATATATATAAACGAAAAACCTATGTTTGCTTCCAATTACTGGCTCTGAGATTGTTTCTATATCAAACTATGTCCTTGGGTTCTGCTTTAAAACAAACTTTTTGATTTGGAGATTTCATTTGGGAAAAATCATGATTTCTTCTCGAGTATCCTCAAAACGACGTCGTTTTGGGCATACTAACAGAGTCGTTAACGAGTAATAACAGATGTTATAGGTTCTTTTAGCGACTGATGAGAGTATGTCTATTTTGGC